GCCCCGGGCCCTCTGCTGATTCTGGGGGTTCAGCCCCTCCTCCAGGATCCGGGTCTCCCTTTCTCCAGCTGCACACAGGGAGGGAGAAAATTGCGACGGTGGGCGGGAGGGGGCAGGGAGGGGGCCAAATAGCTCAGAGAGGGCAAGGCACTCACTACCGAGTCAGGTCCGAGGTCTGCATGTGCTAAGCCTCAGGGGCAAGAGAGTTTTCCCATCATTCTCGGCCGCCAAGATTCCCCTGGCGGGAGGATCTCCGGAGGCCCAGCGTCCCCCGGGCTGAGATCTCCGGGGTAGAAGCCCACCCCACTCGGAGCCCAGCCTTCCCCCTTCCTGTATGGGTGCCCCCTCCCCCCCCCCCCCAGGGCAGGCGAGGCTGGAAAGGGGCCGGGAGACAGAGACGGGGTCTGGGGTCTCCAGAAATGTGGTCGTAAGAGTGGCCCTGGAAGAGCGGAGGAAGCGGGGCAGAAACACGGGGAGGGACAGGCAAGCGGACGGTGTGAGGAAGAGGCAGCGGCCCAGGGGAGAGCTAGGGGGGAGCGGCCGAGGGCGGCCGCCTCGGAAAGCCGGCCAAGGACTGTGAACCGAACACCCAGGCGAACGTTTCTGACCGGCTGGGCCCCAACCACAAGCCGTGGGAGGCGCATGAGAATCGCCCTGGGGGGGGGGGGGGTGGTCGGCAGGAGAAGGTGGCCCACGCCAGCCAGCCAGCCCACCCCAGCCACCCGGCCGGAGGGCACCCTGCCTCCCTGCCCCTCCCCCGCGCCCCGGGGGCCCTGCGGGGAGCTGGGGCGGGGAGGGGGGGGGAAAGGGGGGGGGGGGGGGGGACCCCAGCCAGGCCGAGGCAGCCCCGTCAGACGTCCAGCACGTGGTTCAGGTAGGAGATGTAGCAGATGGCCAGACGCAGGATCTCGATCTTGGACAGCTTCTTGTCGGGGGGCAGCGTGGGCAGCAGCTTGCGCAGCTCGGCGAAGGCCAGGTTGAAGGCTTCCACGCGGATTCGCTCCCGCGTGGCGTGGGCCGTGCGGTACTTGGCCGTGGCCCGGCGCCGCCGCCGCCGCTCCTCCCGGCTCAGGTGCTGGAGGTCTTTCCGGCCGGGCTCTCCGGGCTCCAGGCCCCGGGCCTGGCCCCCTCCGGGACCCCCAGGCCCCGCCCCGTCGGGGCCCGCCCCGCCCCCACAGTCGCTGAAGCCCGACTCGGTCTCGGAGTGGGTGGGAGGCAGGTCGAGGTCCACCGCGTCTGAGTTGAGCATCATGATGGAGGCCCCCCGCCCGGTGAGATCAGGATCCCCTCCCCACCCCTCCCTCCGGGAGCCTCCAAGCTGGTTGTGGGAGGGGCAGGAAGGGCCTGGGGGAGTGGGGTCTGCCACTGAGCTGAGGAGGTGAGAGCCACTTCAAGGTCCCATGGTCAGGGTTCCAGTCCGGAGCCTGGAGGAGAGAAGGGGAAGTTGATGGGGGCCGAGGGAGGAGGAAGGAGACAGCTCCGAGACGGGGAGGGCAAGAGGAAGGTTGGGGAAGGACTGGGAGCAGGGAGGTCCTGTACGAGTCGGGGGAAGAAAGGCGGAAAGGTGGGGAGAGACGCGCAGGTGGACGGACGCTGTAAAGGACTAGGAGGAGAGGTGGTAAGAATGGAAGAGAATCCTGGGGGTGAGCGGCAGGAAAGGAGGAGAAATGAGGAGGGGGTGGGGGGCAGCATAACACCGAGCGAGGGGATTAAAGACCTAAAACCAGACAGCTCCTAGAAGAAAACACAGGGGAAAGCTTTATGACATCGGACTTGGCACTGATTTCTTGGAGATGATGCCAGAGGCACAGGCAGCGAAAGCAAAGACGGACACATGGAACCACGTCGAACTTGCAAACTTTCGTAAGTCAAAGGACACAATCAGAAGAGCGAAAAGGCAACAGACCACAGACCGGAGAACATACATGCAAATCGCATCTCTGATGAGATCCAGAATATTTATAATATCCAGAATATTATAAAGAACTCTGGCAAGAACAAAACATCAGATCACTCAATTAAAAAAAATGGGCAGAGGACTTGAACAGACGTTTCTCCAAAGATGGTTTACAAATGGCCAACAAACACGGAAAGACGCTCACATCATTCAGCGCCAGAGAAAAGCAAATCAAAACCGCGGTGAGCCATCACCCCGCGTCCCCTAGGATGGCTGCTATCAAACGAAAACAAAACAGAAAATAAGACGGGTGGATGAGGATGTGGAGAAATCGAGACCCTTGTGCCCTGTCGGGGGTGAGGGGTGGGGCCGTCAGCTGGTGCGGCCGCTGTGAAACGCCTAACGGAGGTTCCCCTCAAAATTAAACATAGGACTGCCGTATGACCTAGTCGTTCCGCTTCTGAGTAGATAGCGAAAAACGAAGTGAAATCGGGATCTTGAAGAGATATCTGCATGGGGACGTTGACTGCAGCTCTAGTCACGAGACGTGGAAACCTGTCCATCGACCGATGAATGGATGAAGAGTACGGGGCGCATACGTTCAATGGAATATTATTCAGCCTTAAAAAGGAAGGAAATCCTATGGCGAGCTGCCGCACTGATGAAACTTGAAACTCGTCCTACTAAACGAAATGAGCCTGTCACAAAAAGGTAAATACTGAGTGATTCCACTTCTCCGAGGAATCGAAGTCGTCAACTTCATAGACACAGAAAGTAGCATGGCAGTTACCAGGGGCAGGGGGAAGAGGGGGGAGGGGGAGGTGTTGTTGAAAGGGGGTAGAGTTTCGGATTTGAAGGATGAAAAAGTTTTGGAGATCTGTTTCACCACCATGGGAATACACCTAATACTACTGAACTGTAAATTAAAAATGGTAGATTTTATGTTACGTGTTTTTTTACCATTTTTTACCAAAAATGCTTAATAATAAAATGAAAGAAAAAAAAAAAAAACAACCAAGCGAGACTGCAGTCACAGCGCCAAGAGAGGTTGGCCGTGACTCTAAACCTTCCCCAGTTGTGATGGGAGAGCTGCGAGCCTTGGCCTCACTATCAACCCCCCCCCCCCCACCCAGGGCCCCGCTGCAGTCCTGCTGCCTCTGGGGGGTGGGGAGGGGATAAGCACGCAGACTGCCCATTGTAGAGTGGACGGGGACATATGGAGCTCGGCACAGCTGTCCCAGCCCAGTCCCTGCCGGCCCCCCACCCCCCAACATGACCACCACAGACACGTGATCCTACCACCCCATCCACTAGAGTCCGGAAGTGTCCCTTCTGGCCACGATTGCCCTGCTCGGGACCAGCCCCTTCCTCTAGCTCTGTCCTCAACACCCTCAGCCATTGCCACTCCCTGGCCCTTTTGGTGACTCTGCAAAGAAGATGACGGGAAGGGACCAGAGTCGGCGTCCCACTTCGAGTCCTCCCCCAGCCCAGCATCAGTTCAGATGTGGTGTGTGTGGGGGGGGGGGGGGTGCCTGGACACCGTTCTGGGACTTGGCTAAGGTTTGCTTGTCCCGGGGACCAGAGGGGGTCAGGGCGAGGCAGCAGGGAAAGGTATGGGCGAGGCTCTGCTTAGGACGAGTGTGGAGGGGGAACAGAGGGCCACTCTGCTCAGAGCTCGTGGGACTCAATGGCCAAAAACAGAAGCACTGAGGCTCCTTTTCAGTCTCCATCTTCCCTTCCTTACCAGCCCGGTTCTCTGGCCTGATGGACCCCCAGCCTTGTCCCCGACCCCGCTGTCGTTGACAAATAGTTACTAAGCGCTGGGGGGTGATGGGTAAGTCGACATCTGACAGACACGCCATCACCACAACACAAAACGGAAGGCGGTCGGTGTTGATGTTGAAATTCAGAACGCGCTCCACATCCCGGGGGCCAAAGGAACAGGAGAGGATTGCAACAGGGGGGGAGGCCCCGAGGTCAGCCCCTCCCGGGACACGGTTACTGTCCCCACTCCCCAGCTCCGGGCTTCAGGAGTTCGGCTCTGGGGCTCCCAGCACATCTGTCACCACCAGATTCTCCCTCTGCCTGTGTCCCTTCACCCCTGACCGCTGTGCCGTGCCTTCCCCTCCCCTCTGTGTGCTCCCAGTCTGATCCCCGTCCCACCTCCTGGCCCCGCTGTCTTCCCCGGCTCAGGCCCTGGCAGCGGCTTCCATGTACCCAACAAGTCCTCACCCCAAATCCACTTCTGGTCCCAAAGTTCCAGGCTCCGAGGATGAGGGAGGCCAGCAGTTCCAAGCATCTGGGGTGGGATGCTCATCTCCTGCCCCCCCTTCCGCCATGCTCAACCCGATCGAGAACAGACAGGCACAAAGCGTCCAGGGGCAGGAATGGAGGAGAGGGAGGTGCGGGGACACACGAGAGAGAGAGGAACTCGAGGAAGGCTCTGGGAGGGGACCTGAGCCAGAGTGCAAGGGACACACCCACCCCTCCCCAGCCCACGGTTCTCCCTTTACCTAGGAAGACCCTGCGAGGGGGTCTGAGCTCGCAGGACAGGGGGCAGCGTTGACAGCCCCGGTCTCCTCTGGCTGCTGGGAGCTCATCCGTCTGCAAAGTTAGTGACCAGCTCTCTAGAGCTCTCGGGGGCGGCGGCGTGGCGTGGCTGTACAGGCTCCAGGGCAGATGAGAGGGCTACACATGGTGGGAATATAGGGCCCAGGAGGAGGGGGTGGGCTTGGTCAGGGACTGGAGCCACTGGCACTCACACACACA